TAGTTGATTTTTTTTCCACAAAAAAAAACTGATCGGGACACCGAAGTAGCCCTCACCCCCGCAATAAGGAAAGAAGATTCAACATCAAGCTCAACATTGAAAAACAGACAATTTCAACCTCTAACAAGCTACAATATCTGTAACTGTATATGAATGAAGCGGATAATAATTATCACATCAATTATTGATCGATAGCTGAAGACAGATATTTCTTTCTAATGTGATTGATGCCCTTTCGTCGTGGATTTCATATACACAATACCAAATCAGAGAGATCCATCCTACTGGCTGCCGCTTACAAATAGGTTCGTTTTTTTTTTGCGAAATTTAGATCCAGAGATTGCTTAGAAAGGGGCGTGCTCGGTTTGGTTAGGGAACATGCATAAATGACGTAGCATTTGAGGGGGGAGGTGGGGGTTTCAGAATTTGTTACCGGCCATGTATTGGATATAGCCAAATACACTACGAGGGGGGGGGGGGAGAGGGGTCTAAAATTGATCAAAAATATGCTACGTCATTTATGGATGCTCCCTTATCTGAGTTTGATTGCGACTGGAATTCGGTTGGGATGGATTCGAGAGGACTTTACTGGTTTGAGCCAGGATGTCAAGCATCATGACATAAGAATGCGACGGTTGAGGGAGTACTTTTTGTGATCGGAGTGGAACTCCAGACATACATACACAGCACATTCTTTTAGATAGGTGTTGCGGATGACGATCAGGGATGCGAATTTGAATTCCTGTAAGTTTTTTACATAGACGTGTGCATTATTTCTGGAATTCCGTGCTTTCACTGTGCATGATTAAATTGGTAAATTTTTGGAGAGCAAAAAAGAATTCTGATTATAAACAAAAGTGGATGTAATGCTAGCCAGTAAGCATTAATTTTCAATAAACGTTTTGACAGCTAGGTCGACATGCAGAAACACCTGACACCCTAAAACACACAAGAAACACAATTACCCCCCGTAACGTAGGTAGATCACCTTTTCATGGTACGTTACGGGATGTAAGATCTACCACCGATTCCTAGTCCTGATTACTTCAAATTAGGGGAACAGGATTTTTCAGTTATCAAAGGAACACATCTTAGTCCTTGTTACTTTTCATGCCTTGCTGATAGTGACAAGACTTGGCTTTGTCCACCGAGGATGATCTTGAAACAAGGAAAAAATGAGTTAGTTAGTCTTCATCTATGTGATTCCTAATCTTCTATTCGTTGTTCCCTAATTTGAAGTGCTTAAGACTAGGGTTCTGATGCATGGTCAATATCGGTGTCATTCCTTAATTTTGTTGCTAAGGAATCCAATTTTGACTGACAAAGGGGCGTGCCTTTGTAGGGTGTTTCAACACTCCGAAGGGTATAAATAGCGGGACCTTTCAATTAGAGTCGGATCCTTGAGATAAATGCAAGAATGACAACTGTACAAAAAATCGAATACTTCATCATTTCTCAATAGTTATGGAGTAATGCGACATGCACTAAACTAAGGACACAGGAAATACTACAATAGATCAAATTACTGGGCGCAGTGGTGTTAGGTCCCGAACAATGGAACATAATTACAAGCTTCATTCTGGTGTTACGGAACTGAAAAGTGTTTGTGATGGCCATGCTAAGCAATATGGAGGCCTGTATGCGACAATGCAACGACAGTGCTGCAACCCATTGAATCTGCATACAGTTATTCGTCGCAAGAGTTTGAAACCGATTTCAGCACGGTTTCATGACGAGTACAATAAGAACTTTGCCAAAAATTATCGAAGGTCGGAAAGTATGCGTGCAATGTCATCTGGCGGTTTAAAAAAACATGCCATCTGGCGGTTTTAAAATTACCAGCCATCTGCAGGTAAAATTCATCTTGAGTTATTCATTTCAATGCCAGCCGTACGAAAGCACGTCTATATTGTAGCGAAACAAACCGAGTTTTTCAAATTCACTCGTTATAGCTTACGTGAAGGTGAAGTCGTTGTAGTGGCAGATTTATCTGAAAACTATTCTTTTGTTTTTTTTTAAGTGTACAGGGAATTCATTATAATAATTTGCTGGCAATCGTTCACTGATGCCTTCACTGTACACCAGAATAAAGTTGTACCATTGAACTGCGTCATAATGTCCGATACTCTAGAGCACAGCACAACAACATTTCATGCTTTCCAGCGCCATTTCATAGAGTATCTCAAATCCTAGGTATCACAGTTGTCCAAAATCTCGTACTTCTCCGATGGTGCGGTACCCTGGTTTTCCACGAAAGCAAATTAGGGGTGCCCACTGAGTGGCACTACTTTGTTACGGCACATGGCAAAGGACCAAGCGACGGATTGGGATAAACTTTGAAGAGATTGGCAACGCGAGCTAGTTTACAAGAAGCCACTATTCACATGCCAAAGGAGCTCTATGACTGGGCAATGAAGAATTGCAATACAAACGTTAGATTTGTGTCATCTAAGATCTGTTCCGAAGAAAAACAAAAACTGTTCCACCGTTTTGCATCAGCTGCATCTATTCCCGGTATTTGTTCAATACATGCAGCAGCTCCTTCTGGTATTGATACCGTTATTATGGAAACTGTTTCTGGTGCCACAACTGGTTCAACTTTTAGAGTTGTGGCAACGAAACGTGCAAAGCAAGTGGATTCGAATAATAATGGGAAGAAATCATCACGAAGTACTAGCCTTGAGAAGAAAAATAAGTAAATTGTAATTTGTGTTTTACATTCTTATAATAAAATGTAAGAAACAAATCGATCAGTGTTTGATACAATATTTTATGTGTTGGAATGTCTTAATTTATAATGCAATTCGTTTAGATTATTACTAGTGTAAAGTTTACAGCCACTAAATAACATTTAAATTTGTCAACACTGCATAAAAACTATTATTGGTTTTATCATACCTATTTTGTTTCCATCAAGTATTATTTAACAAATGCAAAATGCAATATCTCAGGAACTACGCAAATTACTTTTTGTCGTTAAGTGTTTCTTGTGTAAAAAAGGATGAAGAACACGATGGTTTCCTTAAAATGAAAATTAAACGAGACGTATTATGAGAAAACTGCATTTAAAGTTTTCAAACAAAAATAAAAAATATTTGGCAACACTGTACAGAAACAAATGATACAGATTTAGATTTCTTGTCTAATTTCCTTATTAAAACAATACCCAATGCAGTTTGTAGCTTTATTTGTTCCGGAGATATGAACAAAAGAAAGTAGTGGTTTCTAAAAAAATAATGAAAAATGAAAAATGTGCCCCTTGATTGAGGGGTGCTACGATTAGCATACAACTTTGGAATTTTAGAATTCAAACTTAAATGAACATTCCCTCCAAATTTGGTCCAAATCGGAAGAGGTCAATTTCACTTTTGCAATTTGTTGTGACCACCTGGCGCGGAATGACCCATATGCTGCTTCCTCAACACAGTCATGAGAGAATCGTTCCTAGATGAAACATTCGCCTCCGATCTTCGGGCGTGTACGAATAGGGAGGATGCAATAAATCATATCGTCCGGCCATTTTTTACAGAGATGGCGCTGTTCCGCTGGTAGGAAGTGATAAAAATCCCCATATAGAATTTAAGAGAAGTTGGAATAATTCGCTTTCGGTGCATATTCAGGTCAAAAAAAGTGAACGACAAGCTAAATAAATTAGTCAGGGACTTTTTCGTTAAGTTTTTTTTTTCCCGAAAATTATTGTTAAACAAGCTACAATTAAATAAAAATGATTTTCCCCATACAGTTTTACCTGCTTTACTACAAGTCCCAGAGAGCCAAAAAATTCAAATTTGAGAGAGAAAATTCTCTCTCATGAGCTCAATCTCTCAACATGCCATGTATTTTGACACTCGATTGGTGAGTTTCATTTCATAGATTGCAAAATAGAGTACCTGTCACTACAAACATGTCTGGTTCCTGTATATATGTATTTAGTTTAACATTTGAATTTTTTTACAAATTCTGCTCAAAAAATACTTTCTGCCCCACCCCATGCATAAAAATCGGCGGGAAATTCTGTAAGGGGTGAGCTATTTTGTGTGCAGAATGTGTAAATATTAATCAAAATGCATATATAGAGGTACCAGACATGTTTTGCACTGCAGTGTCCTCTGTGAACAATTAACGTAAAACAGATTATGAGTAGTTTTGATAGAAGTCACCGCAAACAACAGCAGTGACATATAATGGAACATGAATGCAGAAGCTCGACAAAATGATTAATTGCGGAACATTATGCACACTCATCGCCAATTCAGAACCACACGCCCCCAACGACCACACAAAATGCTCACCGTTTTTATTTCCTTGGATTTGTTTTCCGTCGATCTTATTTTCCGTGCTGAGCACCAATGCTACCCACACCTGGACCCTACCTATCGACCCATCAACTCATGAACCGAGAACCAACGGGTTTACTTCCCCGTGATCAGAGATGTTATGCCTCAGAACTTCCCGGCAGCGCCGACTGGGATTGAATCCAGGTCTGCTGGGGTGAGAGGTAATGAACTCATCGGCGCCACTGCTGTCCAGAGTTGTAATCTTGTAACCAAACTAGGAAGCATGGGATACTCTATATAAAATCTATTCTAACTCTTCTCTGAAATGAACTTGGTGGCCCTGAAAAGGGCCGTTTTGTTACATTGGTGATAAGTTTTAACCTTCGAAACCGTACAGAGTGTGGTTTGCATGAATTTGCTATGTAGCCTGTCAACATTATTATCATCATGCAGTGGCGACATCTGCGTAGATCTTTTACGGAAATTTCTCAATATCGACAAAGCTACATCGCCATGACTGTGTATAGCCAATGGGAATCGAGAAAATATGGTACCGGCAGAGCTGGTTGTCTATGTTTTTTTTTTTTTTTTTTTTAATTCTTTATTTTAGAGATTTTTAGCCTGAGGCTAGTTCATCTCTTTAGGTTGTCTATGTAATAAGTAGAGAACTACGCTTTTGGCTTAGTTTCGATTCACCTGTTCAACGACAAACATCAAGCATCAATGACTGGTCGTGGCAAGGGAGGCAAAAGTCTTGAAAAAGGAGGCGCCAAGCGTCATCGGAAGGTTCTGCGTGATAACATGAAGGGTATTACCAAGCCTGCCATCCGTCGTCTGGCTCGACGTGGTGGTGTCAAGCGTATTTTCGGTGTGATCTACGAGGAAACCCGAGGTGTGCTGGAGGTGTTCCTAGTAAATATGATCCGTGATGCCGTCAGCTACACTGAACACGCCACCAAGTTCATTTCAAAAATAGTTAGAATAGAATTTATATAGAGTAACCCATGATTCACCCATTCAATTTGTCACTAAATACTACATGATACAAAAATCAAATAAATTGTTAGGGAAATAAATTATGGTCTATTTGTAGTCTTATCGGCGGGTTAAATTTATTCCGCTTCGCTTTCATAAACTGAGATACCCTCATTGTATGCATTCTCCTGCTGCGCGACATCTTCGAAAACGTCCAAAGCGTTAAATGACTAGGTTCATACAAAGAGAGTACAGACTTACAGTACAGAGAGTACGTAGTTCTACGTCAACAATGCGGTCGTATCTTGTACACCACCCTCCAACTTTTTTTGTTTCAAAATGTAGCAAATCAAAATAACTCTTGTTTGCATCCACTAGGCCACTAAATTCATTTTTGACTTAAGACCTCTGTAATAAAGACGAGAAAAAAAAATATATATACAACTTTTTGACACGAGAGGCAAATAAATGCAATATATACAATGGTTATCATAAATTATGAATAAATTTAGTAAAATTTCTAATATAATTAATTTTGAATGAAAATACAAACTCAAATTATGAACATATTCACCCCAAGGGGCCTGGGTTCAATCCCAGTCAGCGTAAGCATAAAATTTCTTATCACGCCTTCCTTCGGAAAGGAGTAACAGCATCAATTCAATTATTTTTTAGCTGGTTCAGCTTTTATTAGACTTCAATGCTGATTGACCCTCTTCGTTACATACGCTTGTTATTGTATAGTTTATACAACCTCTGTACAACGGAATTAGTCAGCTACATTTTATGTTTTAAATAAGCTCTATCTCATATTCATAAAACCCTGTTTTACAACTATTAACTGAGTATGAACTTGACAGTCGCTAATTCCACATCAGCAGGGTTGTTAATAGACAACTCGATAACATCTTTTCTTTAAAGTTTGCTATGAAAATTTCCCATTGCAGACGTTAACGAAAAGACGTTATCGAGTTATCGATTAACAACCCTGCACATCAGCTACCAGATAATTACTATACAGCTTTTTAGAGAGATTCGAGTAAAATATTGTTTACATCCTGGTCACACACATGGTAAATTTTTGATTTGATTGCAACTCCGATATTTATTTATTATTTTATAACTAACCTTTATCTACGATATTTATCATGAATATACTAGCAAACGACTACCTGGCTAGAACCTGAACCCAAACTCATGACGATCTCATTTGAAAACATTGATTTATTTATTTATTTATTTATTTATTTATTTATGACTAAACATCAACAGGCGATATTGACCCCAATGATGTAACCTAAACTAAAAATGAAAAGTACTAAAACTTAACATCAATTCGTACATAGATAGTTATCTCGTAAAAAAGGAATATAACACCGAGAAAAAATGTCACAAAATCTTGATTTCATTTAAAGTCCATTAAATTGTATTTTGTCCCGTACTAATAATCCGGTAATACAAAACAAATTTCCAGGTCCAGGTTTTAGAAAAAAAAAAAATATTTTCATGATCATAAAATATTTTCTATGTTTCAGGAGTATTTAAATTGTTCAGTAAACTTACATTCTAGGGGGAATTGGCTCTAATGTTGACCTATGGATCTAAGATTGGACCCATCGCTGCTATGTTATGGATCTAAGATTGGGCAATCTGTTATTTATCAATTTTATCTAGATGAACGTGGCATTGGGACGGTACTAATGGATATACTAATGGACGGTACTATTGAAAATTTAGTCGATGGCTGAATGTATGTATGGGCCCAAATTAAAGGCATTTAGGCTGACATTACACCCATTTCCCCTATATGTTTGCGCAATTTTATCAATTTGTTTGTCTTATGGTCCAAACCTCTCTAATGTATCCCAAAATCCCTAATATTTCAGATTCGAGATTTTAAGTCCTAGACGCCATCTGGGGGATAACTTTCCTTGTTCCATAATAATGAGATTTTTTCTTAGACTGCGATCTTGAAAAGTTGTCTAGATCAGAGTTATGAATCTTTTTCTATGTATGAGGTGGTACAGAAGATGGAATGGAGACGACCAGTCCGATATAGCTGCTACAAAGAAGAGAACGTTCCTGGCTGTACTTCATTGTGTGTTTACAATACGGCGACACATCCATGCAGCTCGTTTTATTATAGGTTTTCCGCTGTGCTGATTTGGAAAGTTTGTGGTTACGCCTTGTGCTGATTGTTTGTTTGATAGATGTTTACCACACCTCCAACCTAAGAATGGCAAATTGATGAGTCATTCTGTTATTTTTTTATAATACTTTTATAATTCTTTTCTTATGTACTACGGTTTGTATATTCGTTACGTCGTTCCTTATGGTACAGTTAGGGTCATCTATATCCGTAACTGTAAATGGTCCTTTATAAAAATGTTCCAGTTTTTTTTTATTATCATTCGTTATATAAACTTGTTCTCCTATTTCTTTGTGCATTCTATTTATTTTGCTCATCCTTTTTTGTTGTCTAACTATTTTGTTTTGAATTAGATTTTCTCTAGTTATTTTATTCGAATTATGTAACTTAAATTTTAATTCATTATAATATTAATCAATATACTAGATCAACTATTGTGTTTTCAATTATGTTTTGTGGTAAATTAACTTTATGGCCGAAAATCAATTCAAATAGCGTTAATCCATGTTCTATGTGTGGCGTTGTATTAAAGCATAACTCAAAATATTTCACCTAGTCATAGTCCGATTGGTCAGTCATAGTCCGATTGGTGAGCGTTAACAAAGTATTGCAAATACTCATTGAGACATCTGTGATTCCGTTGGTCCAATGGTCTGCGGATGATAAGCCGTACTAAATGTTTATTTTTTTATTTCAAGTACTTTTTAAATTTGTTCCAAAACCCGATTATTGTATTCAGTTCCTTGATCTGTCCGTATTTTAGAATAAATTTTTCTACAAGTGCTTCAGCAATTGTTCGCCTCCTTGGTGGCTATCGGTATCAGGACTATATATTTGCTTAGGTTGCATTGAAGGGTTAGAATTATATCTATTCCATTGTTATTTCTAGTAAAAGGTCCAGCTGCATCTGCAGATAAGACTTGGTAGGCCTCTTTAATGTGCCGGAATATCTTATTAAATTTACATTTTTCTCAATTCCTGACAAAGATTGCGATGTCATTCTGCATATTTTTTCCATTTGTAATATTCTCTAATTTTCAAATACAAACGGTGTTGTCCAACTTGACCACCTACCGGAGTAGTATGATGCTGTTGTAATATTTGATTTTTTATATATCTTTATTAAGTAGACTTACAGCCCTGAGCGGGTTCGTCTCCGTAATATTCGATTAACATCTTCCTGCTTTGTTAAAATTGTGGGAGGTTTGAATTTACAGTGTATCTCAAAATTGATCGAACATCCTAGAGGAAAATTTTTTGTAACATGGTGAATAGATATTCTTTTAAATCATAGCTGGTGGTTGAACAGATTGCATTTTCTGGGGGTTCAGCTTCAAGTTATAACAGGGCGTATGAATAAAAAGAGTTGACTTTAATTTCCCATGCTTTTCTTACGGGAAAAGTAAATTAAACGCTTTTATGCATACGACCTAATGTCTTAGTCGTTCAATAGTTTGGCTCAATAATGTCCTCATCCAACAATTTTTGCACTTGATTTTGAATTTGTTGCTGCTCCTGGTGTGCGCAGGCTACGTGGTTCCAGCGCGCTCCGTGGGTAGCCGATTGTAATACGGATACACGGTTAACAATAAATGTTTTGCAGGTACTGGGTGCAGCCTTGAGCCATTGGAGGGTGACTGGGGAGTCGCAGACGCAGTCGCGATTTGCAGTGCCTTGGATACCTTGACGAAGAGTTTTGCAGCTAAGTCGGCAGCACAAAGTTCCAAACGGGTAAAGCTAACGCGTTTCAGTGGTGCCACACCGGATTTCGATGCTAGGAGATGTACAGCGACTTTACCCTAGGAATCAATGGATCGAGCGTATATGCGAGCCTATATACAGCCTCGGATGCACCAGAGAAGGCGTGCATCTGGATGGTAGCATTCGGAAGCAAAATATAGCGTGATACACGGAACTTGGAAAGCTTTGGAACCTCGTCGTCCCAGCCAGATGATTTAGAATTTCAGAGAGAACTGAGTCCCGATTTGGTCAGCAGCTAGTCCTTGCAGTACTTCCAGTTTGCTCGACGTCCACTTCCTCAAGCAGAATCCACTCTTCGCCATTAATTCTCCAAATTCGGTACTGAACTGGATAGGCTCTTGACACGGACTGAGCCCCTCCGATGAAATCGTTCACGTAGAATCCCTTCCTGAGTGCTGGTCCTTCCAGCGGATAAGCATCATCTTTATCGTCGGCCGACTGCAGCAGCGTGCGCGTAGCGAGGAACGCAGACGGAGCCATGCCATATGTTGCAGTCAGTAGTCGGTAAGTTTGCACTGGATCGGATTTGCTGAATGGGAACAGTATTTCTTGGAATGATGTATCGTCTTCGTGATTCAGGACCTGGTGGTACATATTCTCGACGTGATCCACAACCGCTACAGGGAAGGTTCGAAACCGAAAGCTGATGTCAATAATATCGTCCTGTATTACAGGGCTCACTACTAATGGCTCAGTGAGAGCCCCGTAGATGTCTTGGCGGAAGCATCAAAGATGACACGTCCCTTCGTCGTCGTGCTGGCCTCTTTCAGCACTAAGTGTTGGGGCAGGAAACATTCCGTCGACCTGCTTGCTTCTTCCTCGGGAACCAAAAGCATATGCCCTAACTCCAATTACTTTCGCATGAATTTGCAGTACTCTTCTTTCAGGTAGGCATCTCGGTCAAGCCTGCGTTCAAGGAGTTCTAAGCGTCGTAGAACGGTGGCCTCCAATTCTCTAGCTTGTTGAAGTTGGATTTACGTGGTAGTCACACTATATATCGTCCTTCGGTGTTTCTGGTAACCGTGAAGGTGTAGATTTCC